CCTGTGAGGGAAAAGTAAATTCCATTTGCTTTTAATAAAAAAAAAAAAAAAGGCCATCCCACTTTAACCCAGAAGTTCTTAATCTGTGATCTTTCAGTTTATCGTGTACTTCATCTTCCCAGAAGCCTCCACTAGCATGGCTAACAATAAAAGATTCTGGAAGCTGAAATCCAAAACATCTGGAGGACCAAAAGGTTGACAACCACTAACTCCTTTCAACCTCCATTCATATCAATTACTCCCCCAAGTCATACACTGGGTTAAATTCAGGTCCTTTTCTACCACCTGGAGACCTGTCTGGGTGGAATTTCAGTCAGATTATGCTTTTTCTTTCACAAAGGAATAGGAGAGGCAACCACTGTCAATTCTTCCATTCTCTCTGTGTTCTCCAGTGCCATATCCTCCACTGTTCCAGATACTCCAGAGCAATGGGTGGGTGGTAGAGGACTACGGAAAAGTTGGAAATTAATTAAGATCACCATCTCCCAATACCAGTAAAAATGCTGGACTGGATTCCAAAGCCTTCTGCAAATAGAAGGAGTTTTTTAGACCAGTGCTACCCAAAGTGGTGATCCAGAGGCCAGTGCTGGTCCTCAAACCACCAGCTGTCAGTCTGCACTGAGTTTCCAAGAAAGAAAGAAAGAAAAGAAAGAAAGAGTTTTACCAATGGAAAAAATATGGTTTTAGTCTCTGGCATGTTAAGAAGAGGGTGAATTGCCAGTCTCAATATAAGATAGCCTGAGAAGCAGTGTTTTAGACCAATGAAGGAAGACCCTGGGTCTAATCCTTTAGTTCCAAATAACATTTTAAAATGCTTTTTATATTTTCCCAACAATAAATGAGATGGGCAAGGGGAGATGACACAATTTTAGACAAGCAGGAAGTTACATAATGAAAACACCTGGGTAAAACCCAGGAACATTACAGCATACTCTCTCTGGATCAAGAATTTTTCTTTAAAATCTATATCTACTTACCAAGCTAACTGAGATTTTAAAAAACTTTCTGAGATTTAAATATTATCAGAACTGCAGCCATAACAGAATATGAGTTCAAGTAATTAACATATCCCAATATCCAACAGTATTCCTACTGTGATTAATAAAATAGTCCTAAATTCACCAAAGAGGGGAAAGATTATGGAAGAAATTGGGTCATATTAAAGAGACACTGCCAACTTTAAACTGGGTCAACAAGATGGCAAGCACACAAATATCTGCAAGACAAAAAGGAGACTGAAACGATATGAAAAAGAAAAACGATTAATTAACAGCATGTATGCAACTGAAGTCTGCAGCAGACGTGCTGCCCTCCAGCCCAGATTTCCTGAAAACTGTATTAAAGAAGCAATGATTTACATTTTAAATGTTAGCAGAATATCTGGAAGCAAATACAATATGCAGCTAACCAGAAAGTTTACAATTTTCATACTTTTAAAGAAAATTGGCATGCACAGATGTGTACCACTTTTACTGTGATCAGCTACAATGCCTTAAAAGTGTATAATCTTTTGACATCTCTTAGAACTATGAAACAAAAAGTATAGGATGCTGGAAGAAAGCAAAAACTGAAGATTTTGTTTCCACTAGGTAAGCAGTTAATATGATTTCAAAACTGAATGACAATTGAATGAATTATAAATAGGTGTGCAAGCTCAGTTTACACCTAGAAATATATCCCAGCCCAAAAAATTTCTGAAAACCTAGGAGTCAACTGCAGCTCAGATATTTGTCTTTCATTGTGGGCAAAAGACACAGGTTCCCGAATTGGCACAGAAGAGATGCAGAGAAGCATGACACTTTTTACATAAGCAAAGCCAAAGATTACATTTTACAGAATGCACTTGACTAAATCCATCAAATGCTTGTTTTGAACATTCAAGTACAGGGTTTGAATATACACTCAGCTATGAAAACCCACTGGGTAACCTTGGACAAGTCACACTCTTAGCCTTAGAAGAAGACAATAGCAAATTCCTTCTGAACAAATCTTGCTAAAAAAAAAAACAAAAAAAACCTTGTGATAGCTTTGCCTTAGGGCTGTCATAAGACAGAAATGATGTGAAGGGACGAACAACAAATTCATCAGATATTAGCTGGAGAGAGAGAGGGAGGAGAAATCATAATGATGGATTGATTGATACTGACAATTTCTATACTGAACAACAATTAATGGAAAATATGATTTTGCAAGCACAGCTATGTGCAATAAATTTTCAAATCACTTTATTTACATAAATGTATTGGGAGTAAAGAACTTGGCAATAACAAATCAAAGTAAAGTTTTGAGCATGCATCTTTGCTCATACACCTTGATTCATCCTGCCACCTAAAAGAAAATCAACAGCTTTCTTTCCTACAATACTAATAATTCCAAATAATTCTTGTGTTCTTGTATACATATGGAAATACTAAGAAAGATAGTAGTGCTGCATAGAAATGTGTTTGGTAAAAGGAAGATGGGAATTAAGGGTTCACATGAAATTAGATTCCCTAAAAAGAAAAAAAAAATAGTGACAATTTAAGAAAAAAAATACAGTGTGGATTTTATAAGAAACCAATGCAATTTATCAACATGTTTGCAGAGTAAATCTGTTATATGGCAGCCACACGCCAAATCCTACATTATCCTATTTTGATATTAAGGTTTTCTGTGACAAGTCCCATCCATGTAGCGCCATGACATCCTAGCATGACACTAACAAGGCTAAAATTACGCCTTGAGTGCAAACGCTATTAGGATGAAGTTTGCAATATTTAAAGTGTCTTTAGGGTGGCCATTTGTCACAAAAAAACTGTGAAAGTCCCAGTTTTAAGCACTGTAAAAATGTCCTGTCTGGTTCAACCTGCATATCAAGTGTTTCAGTGAGGGAAGGCAGAGTCACCGAAGCCTGTGAGTTGTGCAAAACTGTAAAAAGCTTTGCACCAATGGACAAGAACAAGGGCAGCACTACGACCTGAGGGACACTCAAATATCTAAAGCTTGGTCTGGACTGATCCCTGGGGTTTCTGGAGTTGAGGTACATCTGCAGAAGAGGAAGGAAGAGGAGAACTACATCTCCCGGCAGCCCCCGCCCACCTGGCTCTCCCTCCATCCCTTTCCACGGTCCTCCTTCCTCCTCCTCGGGGCAGACTTTCCCAGCAAGGCAAGGCAAAGCAAGGGGGGCTTGAGAAGGGGGGCTGGTCCATGCCAAGGATGGGGGTCAAGGGCCCATAGGAAAAGGGCACTGGGGCTTAGCTGCACTTGGGGTGCCTTTGGGTGACTTTCAAAGTCCTGGGAAATGGGGCTGTTGGGGATAGAGGTGCCCAGTGCACATCCACCATCTAAGTTGCCCTGATCCGGGATTCTTCTTCTTCTTCTCTTCCCTGTCCTCCCTCCCTCCTCTCTTTGCTTTGATTATCAAATTTTCCCTGCAGCCCTCTTCCTCTTTTGGGGCAGCAAGTGGGCCTTCTTTGGGGAAGAAGAGCTGCAGCCCAGAGCTCCAGGTCCCGAGAGAGACTCCTGGATGCCCCTGTGGTGGCAGAGGCCAGGGAGGGCCATTCCCGGCCCCCCCACAACAGACCCCCATGATCCTGTCCGGGCCGGAGTCCCCTGCCTTCCCTGGGGCCAAGCCAAGGGAGGCCGAGGACCAGGGCAGCAGGAACCCCAAGGGAGTCCCCACCTGCCTGTCTCGGGGATTTATTTGGGAAGGCGGCCATGTCCCACTTTTTTAGGGGATGTCCTACATTTCAACCTTTTGTCTAGGAAGATTGTCAAAATCCTCCCCCCTTTCGAACATGACTGAGAAGCATGAATTTATATTAATGTTTTTGGCTTTTAGTTG